AGAATTACAACAAGCTTTTAAAGTATAACCAGGAATGAAATAGTCTCCACACACGAAACTAAAAATCCAAATTTCACTCAAAACCAAAAAATCAGGCCAAACTTCAAGTGACTTCAAGTTAGACAGAAGAGAAGAAAAATTCTCAATCATGCTTCTTATATTTGATGAATCACAGAAAATTTAAAATTCATAAAAGCAAAAATATAGTCGTTAAGGATGGAATTATCAACAACATTGTTGGAAAAAAAATAGGAAAAATCCAAGTCTGAATCGCTGTCCATGAATACAAGTAAAACCATAATATATTATAACATGCAAATAACGGTAAAAAAATATTTATTGAAGTCGATGAAGAATAAAAATTTAGTTTTAATGCAAAATTCAAGAAAAATTGAAATTAAAATAGATAAAAAAATTGACAGCTCTAAACGAAGAATTTGGTATCGATACATTGTAATAATTAAATTTAAAATACTTTTAAGAATAAGCTTTTAGACTTGCATGGGAGCTACTCGAACCTGTCAAGCAATCGCACCAAAACTTTAGAAATATGTCGGACCTATAATTGGACACACAACTGCCAAGTCTCATGAATTTCACTTTATTATTTTTCCAAATATTTAAAATAAGCTTTTAGACTTGTATGGGAGCTACTCGAACCTGTCGAGCAATTCCACCAAAACTTCAGAAATATATTTGAGCCATAATTAGACACATGATTGCCAAGTTTCATGAATCTGACTTTATTATTTTTCCAAATATTTAAAATTAGCTTCTGGAGTTGTATGGCAGGAACTGTCAAGCGAATCTTCTAAAACTTCAGAAATATATTTAACCTATAATTGGACACATGACTGCCAAGTTTCATGAATCTGACTTTATTATTTTGCCGAATATAAAAAATTTGCTGTTGGAGTTGTATGGCAGCCACCCGAACCGGTGCAGCTATCCCATTATAATTTTTAGAGCATGTGCAGAATATAATTGGACACATGTATACAAAATTTTATATTTATACCTTTATTAGTTTTTGAAATATTTAAAATAAACTCTTTGAGTTGTATGGCAGCTACCCGAACCCGTTGCGCGAATTAGTCCAATAACAATAGGGCTCGTCCTTGGCACAAAAGAAAAAACTTGTGAAAGTTTGGTGTCGATTGCATTATTCATTTTTGAGTTATCGTGCGATCGGACGGACGGACGGACGGACGGACGGACGGACAGACGGACATGTCTAAATCGACTCAGAATTTTACGCTGAGCAAGAATATATATATATGTCCATACTGCAGATGACTCCTTCAAGTAGTTACAAACTCCATACCAAAGTTAATATAACCTTCACGAAGTGCAGGGTATAAAAAATCCAACAATAAAAAAAGCAAAAAAGGAATTGTAAAGATTTTGTGAAAAAAACTGACCTTACAATTATTGTTTTTATAATATAATAAACTGAGCTTATAATTAATAATTTAAAAAATATGATGTAAAGAATTTTAGTAGATACAAAAGAAATGTAAGGTAAAAAATACAAAAAATTTAATTTATATAAAGTAAATGAAAAAATTTATAGTTAATCGTAAATTTAAAAACGGTATGAATTTCGATTAAGAACGCTTAAATGCACTATCGATAAATTTAATATCGTTACAAAAAAAAATCGGAAAATTTTACTTCTTTTGTTTTCACGAAGACAAAACTTCCCATCCTTGAATAATAGAAATTCATATTTGGTGTCTGATTTAATTTGTTTAAGATAATAGTACAGCTTGGCTTGAAGATGGGTAAAATGGTGGCGAAAAAAAAAATCCTGTTTTTCCCTCAACAAGCCAAGGTCAGAAGTAAAAATGTGTTTCATACTCCACTTCCTAATTATTACTTCATTCTTGACGTGTTTAGAATTAAATTTTATGACGTTGAGCCCGTTTGACTTCTTACTATGACTAGGTCTTTCATATAAAGGAGAGACGCTGTTCCAGACGCTGTTTTTGTTTTTTAAAAAGGTTCCAGTCACATCATTTAGATTAGGCAACTCAGCTAAAACAATATTTTTCTTATTGATAGATTGACGCCCCCCATCAAGTAGTACATCCAGGTGGTTGAAAGAACCCATTTTCTCCAGAGTACAATTCGACAAGTCAAATTTAGATAATTCGTTAGGAAGCGAAAAATTAGACTTTCTACCAACTGGGGTATTGCAAGACTGATCAGCATCTACCAAGTCACAGCCATCGTCGTTATTTTTTTATTTTACCAACTTTATTTATTGCACTTAGGCCGCCGAAAATTATATTTTTATTTAAAAAACAATAATATTTAAAAAAAAACGCCGCGAAATATTTTTTGATTTTTGAAAACAAAAAAAAAAATTTTTAAATTTAAACAATTTTCATAAATTACGTTATTTACATATGTTCTAAGTCTAACAAAACATTGACATTAGCATTACCAAGTATCAAATTTTAAATAATTCTAGCAACCACAATCAGAACGAAATATTGAAAAATTTGTATGATTTGTGGAGAAAAAACCTTTTTTTTAAAATTCAAATTTTTTTTAAATTACTTAATGAATAAAATAAAAAACATCAGTTCTAATAAAATTATTACAATTTAGAGTTATTAAAATGTTATAAGAACTGATAAAAAAAAAATTAAATAAAGTTGGGTCAAACCAATGGTTTGTATAGTAGCACTTTGCCCTTCAACAATATTAGTAAAAATACTGCTTTAAATACAGTTTATGTATACCCATCACACTATTAAAATTATTTTCATTCATATACAAAACTATTTCTAGGATTGCATATATTTAGGATGAACGATCTATTTAGTCTTTGAAATAAAGCAAAAATTAATACAAAGTGGGGTTAAAATTATGCTCGATTTTAAGGGTTAATTGTGTGAGTTAAGAAAAGTAATTATATTTTTTTATGTCATGGAATTTACCGTTAGCTTTTTGTGTTTATACCAATTTGAAAAAGCTTGCGGTTTCGGAAATATAAAGTGTTAAAAATTCAAATTTTAGAAATTTTAAGAGGCGATAACTTGAAAGGGGGTGGAGATGGAAAAAAATTTTCTTCTAACAAAATGAACTATTTATTAATGTCTAAAAGCCCCTAATTTCAAGCTTCTACAGGCTGGGGTCTAGAAGAAAAACGAAATCAAAAATTTGGAAAAAAAGACTTTATATAACGGTAAATTTGAACGGCCATTTTGTTTTTCTAAAGTTTAACTATAGTATACCGCGCTAGTGGAAGCAAGCCGCTGCCTTTCTGCATTAGCAAAATTTCAAAAATGCTTATGGTTTCATTGCAACAAATGGTTAAAAAAGGCCATTTTTAGGATTTTGGGGGGGTATAACTTCTAGAGGGGGGGAGATAGGTAAAAATTTTGTTCTACAGAAATAAGTTTCTGGTAAAGATCTATATACGTACAAAATTTCAGCTTTCATCTTCAAGGGTGTAGAAGTTTTGTAAACAGACACACGGACAGACAAAATCCTACAAATAGCCTTTTTTAACTATTTGTTGCAATGAAACCATAAGCATTTTTGAAATTTTGTAAACGCATGAAGGCAGCGGCTTGCTTACTATAGTTAAACTTTCTTCTTCTTCTTCTGCGTATCCACTTACTGGATGTTTGCGACTCCATTTCTATATGCCTCCCTGTCTTGCGCAACATGTACCAGCTCTTCTACTGTTCGTATGCCAGTCCATTGTCTGATGTTTCTGAGCCAAGACATCTGCTTTCTTCCCACACGCCTTCTTCCCTCAATTTTGCTTTGCAAAATCAGCTGCAGTATGAAATATTTGTCGTTAAGCATTAAATGACCGAGAAATGTTGTTTTTCTGTGTTTTATTGTTAGTAATAATTCTCGGTCATTATTTACTCTTCTTAAGACCTCTTCATTTGTAACTCTATCTATCCATGGGATTTTTAACATCTTACGGTATATCCACATCTCGAAGGCTTCTAGCTTGTTCATTGTTGATATTTTTAGTGTCCAAGCTTCCATTCCATAGAGGAGAATTGACCACACGTAGCATTTTACAAATCGAATACGGTTGTGGAGATGTATATCCCGATTGCAAAATATATTTTGGTGCTTTATAAAAGAGCTGCGCGAGTATTCAATTCGGCATTTTATTTCCATATCTGAATTCCAGTCTTCGTTTAACCAACATCCCAGATACTTAAAACTTGAAACTCTTTCGATATTTTGGCCATTCACGGTTAAAACTAGATTATTAAATGTGTTGGTCCTGGATATAACCATGAATTTGGTTTTAGAAATATTCATATTTAAACCGAAGAGCATACTGTGGTTATTTACTGAGTTTAAAAGTTGTTCTGTGAACTACAGTTCAGTAATAGTGCCAGCAATCAAGGTGGTATCGTCTGCATATCGTATATTGTTAATATTTACTACATTTACTTTTCTACCAACATCTACGCTATCAGCTACTTCTTCGAATATCTTTTCAGAGTATAGGTTAAAAAGTAAAGGCGATAATATGCAACCTTGCCTCACTCCTCTTTTTATTTCTATCTCATCAGTGATGAAATCTCTCGAAAGAACTTGAGCTTTTTGGTTCCAGTATAAGTTTTTGATACACCGAATCTCTTTTTCATCCAGATCTATTTTATTCAAAACCTCCATTAATTTGTCGTGTTGCACGCAGTCGAAAGCTTTTTCGTAGTCAATGAAGCATATAAAAATGTCTCTGTGAACATCGCGGCAGTTCTGAATTTATATTTGGAGACCAAGAAGCGCTTCTCTCGTACCTAGACCTTCCCTGAAGCCAAATTGTGTGTTACTGATGCTGCTTTCACATTTTTTGCAGATACGGGAATGAATAATTTTTAAAAAGATTTTTAAAGCGTGGCTCATTAAGCTTATAAGTCGATATTCACTACATTTTTTTGAGTTTGATTTTTTAGGTAAGGTAAGGAATGCCGAACTTAGCCATTCCTTAGGTAAGGTAAGGAATGCCAAACTTAGCCATCATAAATTTTGTTAAAAATGTTTTTCAAAATTTCTAAGTTTTCGTCATCTATTAGCTTAAAAATTTCTGCGGGTAGCTCATCGGGTCCAGGAGCTTTATTATTTTTTGACAACTTAATTGCTCTTTTTATTTCCTCTGTTGTTATTGAAGGACCTGTGGGTTCAGTTTCCGAAGTTCTTAGAGCATCGGTTCTACTAATATAATTGAATACTTTTTCTATGTATTCCTTCCAGACTTGTTTTTTTTATTCTTGATCTAGGACTATATTATTATTGTTGTCAACTAGATTAGAAAATGTCTGTTTGCGGTTTACTCCAGCGGTTTCTTTAATTTTCTTGTGACGATTAAACATATCGTGACGATTTTGAAAAGTTTCAATGTCTTGACATTGAGAGTTCAACCATTGTGACTTTGCAGATCTAATTTTTGAGCGAATTACTGTTTGCAGGCGCTTATATTGACTATAGTCCCTATTTTTGTGCATTCGTCTCTGGTCCATTAAGTTTAAGATCTCGCTTGTCATCCATTTCTGTTTTGCTCTGCTGTTCGTGGGGCCTAGTTTGGTTGAAGCTACATTTTTCATTGTACTTTTCAATCGATCCCATACTTCATCAATTTCCACATTATTAAAGCTGGTACTTTCGAAATTTAATTTAATTTGATTATTAAGCTCCTGAGTAACTTCGGTTTTACATTCATCTTCCTTAAGTTTCTGTAGGTCTAAATGTTTTTTGCATGTTGATTTTGTCATTACTGCCAATTTTATGTTGATTTGCGATATAAGTAAATTATGGTCTGAAGGGACATCGGCACCTGGATACATTGAAACTTTTGATACGGATGTACTGTATCGCTGGTTGATTAATATAAAGTCGATATGGTTCCGGATTATATTTCGATCGTTATCTTCAGGTGATTTCCATGTGTAAAGTCGACGAGGTGGTAAACAAAACCAAGTGTTCATTATTTTGAGCTCCTGTTCCGTACAGAACTGAATTAGTCTATCACCTCTTGGGTTTCTGGTACCTAAACCAAATGGTCCAACAATTTTTTCTACTTGCGACTTTCCTATTTTGGCATTGAAATCCCCCATAATGATGTTAATCTCGTGTTTTTTGGTCATTTTCATGAGCTCCTCGACTTCATTGTAGAATGATTCAACGGCTTCGTCAGTTTTATCAGCAGTTGGTGCATATGTTTGAATGATGTTTATATTCAAAGGCTTTGCGTGTATTTGAAGCAATAAAGTTCTATCTGAGTATGGCAAAAAATTTTTTACGCATTTTTCGACGGCCTCGGAGACAATTATTCCAACCCCATTTCTATGGTTTCTACTTTGGTTCCCGGAATAATACATTGTTGCACCGTTTGTTTTACATTTGCCAGAATCAGGCCACCATGTTTCACAAACACCTAATATATCGATGTGAAGCCTCTTCATTTCTTGTATGGTATTTGCTAGTTTACCGCTTTCATAAATGCTACGAACATTCCAAGCACCTATTTTTAGTTTGCGTTGAGTTTTACCTCCGGGGATTCTTAGCACCCTCGTTGTGCCGGAGACTGAGGGCCTTGTTCTGTTTGTACTTCCATGTATGTAGTTTTCTTGGGATAAGATACTTTAGTAGTTTCCCCTGGCTTTCTAAAGGGTTTTGCAGTTTTCCTTCTGTCATAGTAGCTGCCGCCCCTCAGGGGTCAGACGCAGACCAGGGAGCCGCCCATTCTGGGTCAGATGCTTCTGGATTTCTAGCAGTTGCTTCGAAAAAAGGAGAACCATACGAAGGAGTCTAGATAGCTATGCTATCAGGCCTTGCGCACGTCCCCCCTATTCTACTCCTTGCACGGTCTATCTATTAGCCTATTTATAATAGTTACCAAGAAGAACCACGTGGAAGTTGATAGATCCGATTTCTCTCCCCAATGACAAACAAAATGGCCGTTCAAATTTACCGTTATCTAAAGTCTTTTTTTTCCAAATTTTTGATTTCATTTTTCTTCTAGACCCCAGCCTATAGAAGCTTGAAATTTTAGGGGTTTATAGACATTAACAAATAGTTCATTTCGTTAGAAAAAAGTTTTTTTCCATCTCCACCCCATCTCAAGTTATTGCTTCTTGAAATTTGTAAAATTTGAATTTTTGGCGCCTTATATTTCCGAAACCGCAAACGTTTTCAAATTTCTATAAACATAAAAAGCTAGCGGTAAATTCCATGACATTAAAAAATATAATTATTTTTCTTAACTCACACAATTAACCCTTAAAATCAAGCATTATGTTAACCCCTCTTTATATTAATTTTTGCTTTATTTCAAAGACTGCATGAATGCATCATCCTAAATATATGCAATCCTAGAAATAGTTAAATATGAATGAAAATAATTTTAATAGTGTGATAGGTATACGTAGACTGTATTTAAAAGCAGAATTTTCACTTGTTGAAGGGAAAAGTGCTACAACACAAACCATTGGTTTGACCCAACTTTATTTATATTTTGTTTTGTTTTTACATGGATATGTTCTAAATAAGAATTTAGACAAATTTTTTGGTTGTCTTTATTTTTTTAGTGACTTTTTTAACGACTTTTGATATTTGTTTAGCAAATTTTAGAGCTTTTTATTTGAGAGTTTTCCTGAAAAAGCTCTGGTAACACTGTTTACGACACCTTTTATATGGATACGCTAAATTTTGTCTGCTCGGTTTAAACGGGTAATGATATAATCCGATTTTTAATTAACGTTATTTTTTTAAAAATGTTATCTTTTTAATATTAGCCCAAGTAAGATTTTTTATTTTATTTATTTCATACTTTACTTTATTTAATAAGAAGTGTTGCACTGTTATTTAAAAAAAAATAGTGTAAATGCCACAAAGTATTTACCCAATTTTTAACAATTATTATTTAAATATGCAATTACTTAATACTAATAATACCGCAAAAATTTTAATTCTCACAATAAAATTGCTTGTTTTTATATATCTATAATTATTACTGCTACTAAATATAATTGAATTCAAAAAAATTAAAAATTTTTAAATTCATTCATATTATTTACTTATACATACTTAATTTTATAATTTACAAAGCATGGTTTGGATTAAGGATTTTACTAAATAAAGTTATAATATTAAATCAAATTAGGATAGTTAACAAATTATTTACTCGCCTATGCTCAAAACTCAAAAGCCATTCTTTTACATTTTTAACAAAATTATTGAAATATCTAATAGCACGTTTTTGTTCAGGAAGTTTATTAAACAGGTGAAAAGAAGTTATATCAAAGAAGTTGCAATAATTTGTAGTTCTAAGAGCTGGAACATTAACTAAGAATCTTTGATTAATACGTAAACCATAGCGATTTGAAGTTCTACTATTTAAATAGCCGCCTCTTAGAAAAAAACCTTTCAAACCATATAATAGTAAATTTGTCTAACTGGTAAAATTTTCAAACTTCCGAATAAATCCGTACTGTGAAATAAACGATACATGTTGCAAATTTTTCTAATTACACATTTTTGCAAAATCAATAACGGATAAATTTTATTTTTATAAGTACCACCCCAACAACTTATGCCACATTGTAACATAATTTAGAATGAAAAATGCCATAATAAAACATCAATAGAGTTTTCTGCGAACAAATTCTATTCAAACGATAAAAATTGCATAAGGTAGAGCGCAAATATGATGTCCTGACCAATTCAGCATACTATCAATACACATCTAACACACACCTAAATATTTGAATTGATTAACTACTTCTATAGGGAAGCATGCAGTCCTTAATAAAAACACTTTTGCAGCCAGTTGAATGAAAAACAATTTTGATATTAAAAACTTGCTTCTGTGTAAGATTAAAAAACATTAATTTTGTTTTTTATCACTAAGAATTAGCCTATGTCGAAAGAACCAATATCTTAACAAGCTAAGATCTAAGGTCGCACACGTTAAATTGAGTGGACTATTGGAAGAATAGGAAATGACAAGATAATCAGCAAACGCTGTTTAATTACCTTGAAACTCCAGATCAAAAAGCGAATTTATATTAAAACGGTATTGGTCCCAAAACTGACCCCTGCGGGACACCCAACCTAATACATTCAACACTACTAAAATTGCTACTTGTTTTAACTTTTTGTATTCTACATTATAAGTAGGATTTACATAATTCAAATATAAAACCCCAAAACCCCGAAAGAAGTAATTTATTTGAGATAATTTTGTGATTCACTATGTCAAAACTTAGTAACATCAACAAAAAGGCTTGCACAATTTAGTTTATTATCTAGACCTGAATTATTAGCGAACAAAAATTTAGCAATGCATTTTCAGTTGACATATCTTTGTTAAAGCGAAACTATTTCGAGCTAAAAAATTCTAATTCATTTAAATATTTTAATATTTTAGTTTTCATTATCTTTTCGAACACTTTTGTAGGAAGCAAGGAAATGGTGGATCTATAATTGTTTGTGTCAGACTCTTCGCATTTTTTGAATAGAGGAATCTCAATTGCAGATTATAACCGGTTTGGAAATAAGCCTAAGAGCACACTGAAATTGAAAATATATACCAGAGAATTGGAAACGTTAAATGCAATTTTTTTTTTAATAATTTATTGGAAATATTATCAATATACACAAGACCCAATAATTTGGAGAAGCTCAGGAACAGAGAAGCTACCAAAGTAGAAACTGTTACGAACACTATTTACTTCCATTGTACTGTACTCGTAATTAGAACCTAAATCAGAAGACAGCTTGGTAACAACCGAAGAAAAATGACTATTAAATTCATTTGCAATCAGAAACTCATCTGTCATCAACTGCCCATCATCTGTCATCAATTAACACATAACTGCGTTATGTATTAATTCTATTTTCAGAAATACAGAAAATTCTTTTATTATTTCTTTGCACAGTTTTTTGTAGTGCGTTTTCAATCTCGAATTAGAATGGTGCTTATATAACTTAACACTTAATTTGTTTTTAATTTTAGTTTTCTCAGCAAAACATCATTCATCTATAGTTATAACTTTTTACTTTTCACACTAGGTTATAAATAAATGTACATTGAGAAATATAGTTGATCCGTAATTTCAAAATTAAAAACTCCCTTTTCATACAAGTTCACAGAAATAAGATCGAAACGAGCATGAATATGATGTAAACAAGACCCAGAACTAAAAAATAGTCAACACCTTCTGTATTGTTTAAAGAATCTAGATTAAAGTTATCGACAATTAGTAGATTAGAGGAATTTATATTTGAAAGCAAATTTTTAAATTCATTAAGAAATGTATTAACCGACTGTCCCGGCGGATTGGGCCACGAAATATCCGCAGTAAGGTATACTTGTGGTAAGAGTCCACTAAAATCCAAATAGAAACCTAGACGCGACGGACTCACAATGAGCGGCTCCCTGGTCTGCGACTGATCCCTGAGGGACGGCAGAAATTATATGTGCTGCCTTGAGGGAATTATTCTCAAAGACTAGGAGAAGAAAACTCCGAAATAAAACAAAACAAATGCAATGAACAAAACACAATGATTGAATACCCCAGGTGGTAATCCAGTAATGCTGGAAAATGCATACTCTTAGGAGGCTGGTCTCATGGATTCTGCGGGAGATCACTTATTGCGTAGTAGATCGGCGTTGATGGACCCATTTACAGGGAGATCGGGGGTCATGCGATCACCCCCATTGGTGATTGTCGACAAAAATGGCAGAGTTAAGGGTGATAACTCTGAGAAAAAGTCTAATAAGTTTCCAGAAGGCAAAAAAATGAAAACCCAAGAGGGTAATATGAGAAGGCATCTTATATAGGAGAGTAAATTGGATACTCAGAACTCGACAATAACCGAGTTAGAGAGTGTTTGTAAGGTGCTACAAAACGAGATCTGCAAATTACAGGCAGAGATTATAAATTTAAAAAATCAAACAAAATCTGCATCAACAGAAAGAAAGAACAAAGATGCGGAAATTATTGTATATGAAACCGACGAGGAAAAACTGGCTCGAGAAACTGACTGGATCCTAAAACAGAATAATGCAAAGAAGCGAAAAATGGAAAAGTCTCCTGAAATAAATTCAGAGAGGACAGTTAAAAAAATAATTAAACCAGCCCTAAAATGAAGGCTGAAAATCTAAAGAAGCTCAAGCCTCCTCTGGTTATATTGAACAACATTAAAAACTTCTCCCACATAGTTAAGAAATTAAAAGAACAAAGAATAAACATTAGGGTCAATATGATGAATAATGATCAATTAAAAATAAATGAGGAAAATGAAAATGAATACAGATTACTAACAAAAGCTATAAATAAGGCTAGACTGGAATGGCACACGTATGAGAATAAACTGCCAAGGCCAGTTAAAGTTATGGCTAGAAATCTCCGTTCACCGTGTGAGCCAGAAGATATAAAAAAAGAGCTCATTAGCAAAG